GGACATGGTCTAATTATATCAATTTATATATAGATAATAGATAATTTCTACTTCAAATAAAATCCTTTACTATATATGGGATTGTTATCAAAAATTGAGATAATGATATATGTACATTGTGTCTTTATTATATGTTCAAAAAATATTTGCAAAGTCATAAGAAAAATACCTTTATTGATTTATTAGTCTTCGCCGACCAGAAAGTGAGTAGAATACTTAATTTTATATTTTTGAAATGCAAATATATTTTTCGTACAAACTATTAATCATTCCTATAGATTTCCGAGATTATCCGTCGTCTAATTCAAAACGAAAATTACTGTACATAGTTTATGGCAAATGGTTATGTAAACCACCAAGAACTATTTCTAGTTTTCGTCTTTATACATGACAGGCCGTAGAAGTAAGCGCAGATTATTACATCAAAATGCATTAAAATTTATTCTAATAGCTTTTATTTGGATAACAGAGAAGGCAATGTCTGCGTTGCAAGAAAAACTGGAAAAGTGTACATACTTGGATTTCTCTTCAAAAATTTATCGAGCGTGCTCCAGCTTCAGATAATTATTACATGCAAAACTGCGAGTTGTGCCCAATTCAATAGCACTATTACAGAGTACAAACTTTTACGACAAGGTGCTGGTTTCGGTACAACTCGACATAAAGATGATCTATGTGCAAAATGTAAAGAAGGCCATCCTTGTGCAGGAGATGATGCCTCAGATACAGAATAGTTAATTTTTTAATACTTGAGCACATTTACAATGTACATGAAATATTTCTGATTAAATTTCTTCGTGATAGATTTTTTAAAAAGATAAACTTTTCATAATTATGGTAAATTTCACACGAATGGCAAGGTTTAATTAATATTTGAGAAAGTAGTATAACAAATATATGTATATTTATTATATTTGAAAATCATAACAACACTTAACAAAAAATATCTACAATGACAGCATTTTTTCTTAAGAAAGGGAACCTCGTTACCTGTGTCTATAATGGAATCGGAAAATTGATATTCATGTCGGTATATAATTTCTTATATGTTGCAGTGATAAAATTCAATGTCTTTATTGTTAATAGTCGCGTGTAAGCTCAAAAAACTCAAAAGGATCAAAAGTAAAATTTATTTTTGACATGCAAATATATTGTTTGGTATTCGCTACTAATTTATTCTATAGATTTCTGAAATTATCCGTCATCTGATTGCTTACGGCAAATGGTAAAAAGAATTTTGTCAAAAAAAATTAGGATTAAATCTACAATAAGTTTTTGTCTTTACACAAAAGGCTGTGGGAAAAAAGTAAGCGAACATAAGATTATTGCGTTAAATTTGTTAATGACTTTTATTCGGATAACCCAAAATGCTTAAAGTAGAAATCATTTATGGAAAAATCATTATTAAGGATTTAGATTAGGAAAACCGGAAAAGCGCGCATTTTGGATTTCTCTTTAAAAATTTATCGAATTGGCTCTAGCCTCTAAATTCAAACAGAAATTATTACATGCAAGTTATACCCCTGCTTCATGTAACAATAATGGCATTATCACAAAGTACCAACCTTTACGAAAAGGTACTTTGCCATTATACCTCACCATAAAAAGGAACTATGTGAAAGAAGTTCCTGAGATGAATCCTCAGATACAGAATAATTTCGCTTCACATTTTACAATACATATATATATGAACATTTCTAATAATTCTCACAAATATTATTATATATTTTTTCTTTGTCATCAGATAAATTTCTCATTCTTTGTAGTAATTTCACACGAAATGGTTTAATTACGCAATTAAGCATAATGTAGAGAATGGAACAATTTTTGTGTGGATTATAAAGCCGTCGCTTTCATTGTATATGGATTGTTATCGGAAATTGAGACAATGGTATGTATAAATGTATTTTTACTAGATCTTCTGAAAGATTTTATAAAGCATAACAAAAGATATTTTATAATGGCAGTATTCTTTGTTGATAAGAAAAGGAACCTCGTTACCTCGTGTCTATAATAAAATCGGAAGATTGGTATTCACATCAAGCAGCGGAAAGGTATATTGATTTGACGATTTGTGTGTATTTGTCGCTGATGATTATTAATATCGTATTATATTAATATTGCCATACATTTTAAAAAATACTTTATAGATTTTGAAAGATGAAGATATAGTCTCTAAGGTATTTTCAATTTATTTATAGAGATAAATTGCTGATAACGATAACGTCTAATGTATCTTTATCGATTTTTAGTTTTCGAATTCGAGCATCGACAAGGGTCAGCAAGTGAGTAGAATACTTATTTATATTTGAATATGTAAATATTTTTTTTGTTATGCGCTATTAATTTAGTAGATTTCTGAAATTATCCGTCATTTAATTCAAAACGAGAATTACATAGTTTACGGCAAATGGTTATGTAAACCACGAGAGAATAAAACAGAAAAATGCGAACCCATCGAAAAACTATTTAGTCAAGATAAGCTCAAAAAATACCAAGTTCAACCTCCAAGAAAGCTTTACAATGAATTTAACAAAACTTGCAAAAAATGTCACGAACAAAGATTTATTTCTAGCTTTCGTCTTTATACACAACGAGCCGTAAAAAAAGAAGTGAGTAAATGCTGGATTATTAGATGCGTGACAATTTATTCTAATGACTTTTATTCGGATAACAGGAAACGTGTAAAGTAGAAATCTTTTTGCATCTAGAATGGAATAAACATTATAAAGTATTTGGATCTTGGAAATGTCCGAATTGCGAGAAAAGATGGACAAGCGCGCATACTTGGATTTCTCTTCAAAAATATATCGATGACTCCAAGGAATTAAAGAAGGATGATTATTACATGCAAAAATGTAGCGGTAAACAATGTCGTAATCTTAATACGAGTATCATCACCAATTTCGAACCTTTAAAAAGATCGGATTTTGTTGATAAAAATCCTCATAGAGAAGATTTATGTGCAAAATGCATTGCGGGCCATTGGTGTGTAAAAGGATGACTTATTATTTAGTGGAATGATTATATTATTATTAGCTTGTTTGAGTGCATGTAATACGTGGTTCTTGTACTTATGTATTTATCGATTAAACCACTCGAATTACTTCGGCTTTCACCCAAAAAACAGTTAGGCCGATCATAAATATACATGTAAATCTAATATCGATATGGAAAATTGTATAACGATAAAAATATAAAATGAGTAGATTTGAGGTGGGTGTTCTCATATCATTTTCGTTCTCGTCGTTGTCGTCTCGGCATTAATAACATCACTCACCCTCCTTATAACAAACCCTCTAACGCATAAAGAATAACACCAAAAAATATTCTTTTTGCATTCCGGAATATTTTCCTTTGAAAATTATTATTTATCTTTTATTATATCATTCATTTAGATATAAAAGATAAAACCGGTGAAAATACTTCTTTTCGCATATATTCCCCTTACCTTCATTCACTCACCCTCACATTCCATCATAGCTATTTTTATAGTTATTTACTTCATTTATCATTGAACCAACAAACAATAATTATGACTAGAAAATCAACATACTTGAATGCATTTGCTTATGCAACATTGTTGACATTTGCGTTTACACTGGCAGCGCCAGTAAAAAACGATCAAATAGAGACGACAACCTTCACAGTGGCTACTTCTGCTAGCCAAACATCATCATTAACTCCCTCGGTATTATCATCAACCACATCATCATTCCCAACAAACACCACATCACCAAGTAGTGGCAGTAGTACGCATAATGGTAACTTTAACGGAAATGGAAACGGTTCATATAATGGAAACGATAATGGAAACCAAAATATAGGATCGTATAATGGGAATTTAAATGGAAACAGTGACGGTAAGGCAAATGGAAATGAGAATGGAAACGGTAATATTGGTGATGAAAATGGAAATTCAAATGGAAACGATAACGGACAAAGTTCTGTTTCAAATTCAACATCAACAAGTTCACCCACGTCAGCAACAACAACAACAACAACAACGACATCATCTGGAAATAATACAACATCAATAACAGAATCATCTGGAAATAATACAGCATCAATAACAACAACGACAACATCATCTACAGCTACTGTTTCTCACACTGTCACAACATCGTCATCCTCATCCGCGTTCTCACCACCACCAACGCCAACGATCATTTACAAACCGAAGACCAATTTAATCTACTACAAAGCAGGAAACAACGGAAACAACAATGGAGATGGAGGCGGTCAATTCAATGGAAATTTCAATGGAAATTCTGTTGGTCAAGGGATAATAATTGCACGACCAGGACACGACAGTCACAAAGAGCTTTGCGCTGCCTATCTAAAAGCTTTAAAAGCTCATGATAACGGAAATAACAATGGGAATGGGGGTGGTTTAGGTAATGGAAATTTCAATGGCAATGGACAAGGGCATGATAACGGAAATATTAATGGGAATGGCGGTGGCGAGGTAAACGGGAACTTTAATGGTAATGGCGCCGGTGATCACAATGGAAATTTTAATGGAAACGAGAAACGAGGCAACGATATTGGTACAAGTGGAAGCAACAATGGGAATGGTGGCGGTTTTTTTAACGGAAACATCAACGGAAATATCCTTCAATTCACCACGTTCATAATCAAAGATCGTAAATTTGACATCACAAAATTTGATCTCAAGCAATGCCATCCCGGTAAAAATGGCGTGAATAATGGAATGGGTGGTGGTGAATTCAATGGAAATTTCAATGGAAACATCTTTGACTTCGTAACTATTGTTGATGCTGATGGTGATAGTAAAAAAGACGTGGACACCAAAAAAGAGATTGCCAATGATAATACTCAAAATGAAAAGGAGTTTAGTGACGGCATAGCACAAGGCAACGGCACAAATGGACATCTTAATGGACAGCAGATTTCACTTTCCAACTTTGTTGATCTTAACGAAGAGGTTAATAGAAAGTCGAAAAAACCATCGTCACACTAGTTTGTAAATTTGTAGAATGATTTAATTTTTTTTTATATTTAATTGTAACTGTACTTAGGTCGGAAGCATTAGATTAGCATACGCATAATAGAGATTATAATTATAAATAAATATCAATCCGAAATATTGAAAGTTATGCTTAATTACCCAAATATCCGACAATTTTTTCTCCACTTGACACCTCCATGTATGCGTGTGTGGTTTTCCTAATCAAGCGATAAAATGCCCACATGTGCATGATATGCATAATATTGATATCGAAATGTTACACGAAATAAATTTCGAGAAACAATAAAAAATATAAAAGCTTTGTATCTTTTTCCTTTCAATCAGGATCTTAGATAATAACAGTATAATTTTTGCACTAGTATAGCAAGTGGATCTTGTCCTAGCGGTTTAATAAATGAAAGCCGCGTTTCTCTCTTTTGTCTCTCTTTAATGTTTGAAGCAGGGCTTTTTCATACATTTTACACCCCTTTAAAATAAATACGTATATTGTATAACCTACATCTTTGCTCGTTCTTAAAAACCAAAGTTAAAGAAAAAGAATGGCATTTATCTCATACCCGATATTCTTCTTCATGGTATTAGGTTCACTCATAGTAAATATTTTTTACTATGCATGTAAGAAAGTATCTTCTCGTTTACTTCCGTCGACGACCGCCAATAGATTTCACCCAACTCCTACAAATACTGAACAAGTATCATCCAATACCATTATTATTACTACTCATAATACTTACGAATCAGGAAACAACAATAATCACATGTTTACCAATCAAGAAGAACGACTGCTTCAAACAATTTTACATGTTATGGATGAGGAGGAACTCACAGCCAATTGTTCAAACGAAGATATTGCTCCTCCTCCAAGTTACTCCGAATCGATGGGTCTAATTAATTCACCACCTAAATATGATGAAGTTAATAATAATAATAATAATAATAATAATAATAATAATCATAATAATAATAATCATAATAATAATAATGATAATAATAATAATAATAATGACGATGAAAGAAGATTAAGAGTCTTAGAGGAGACACGCACTATTTATAATGCTTTAATTTCTGCTGGTTTATTAGATCCTTTGGATGGTGAACTCATAATGTAATTTTATTCTTTATTGGAAACACACCAACTTACGAACCTATAAATTTGAGCAGCGTTAAAGGATATTTTTCCACCATTAGAGAAAAATAAGATGTAGGAAAACACAACCATTCAATGTCGATAATTATTTATAATAAATAAAACCATACATTAAACAATTCTCAATTAATTTTCCATTTTAATCTTACTAGTTCACCAGAACTGAACGCAAACCCAACTACATCTCTAAAATGCAATTTAATTACGCTCAGGCAGAAGCCTAGATTAGAATTTTCGAATGATTTAATTAAGAAATTTCAAAAAATGAGCGTTTTTTTATAATGTTTATTAGGTTAGCTGAATTGTGGGATATCGGATCGATAAGCCACAAACATCACACCAATCATTTATATGTAAAAGGAATCTTGTTCGGAGGTAAATTATCATACACAAGACTATTGATACGTGTAATCTTTCACGTTATTTTTAAAAGCAACTTTCTATGCTCTACCTGGAATTTTGGTTATGATGGTACATGTAACACATGTACATTAATAGTGAAGATTGACTAAATGCTATTCAATTTTCTGCTCTTATTTTTAGTATCGATATGTCGCGTTTTTTAAGTTTTCTTTTATTAACGTTAAATATTATTTCGTATTCCCCATATTAACGCTAGTTTCATTCATACCGTGTAATGATCGCCACTTCTCTCGCGTAGTAATCAATTTTTGATAGATTTATAAAATCAATCATATTTGGCATACTTAATATGAAATGCCATTTTTTACTAATATTAAAATATCTTTCTGTTAATTCACGCGATTTGATCTAGAAAGAGGGAGATTTTTTATTACTCTAAAGCAAGCTCATAATTGAAATACAACTGCTTCACCACTTATTCGTTGATGTTATTCGAAAGTGTGCATTTCTTAGTCAAATTATGAATACATGTACTGGCCTTATTTAACATGTCTATAATGCTATCCATATTAAATTATCAACGACTTGGTCGCGAAAATATTTTTATGCTTTCGTTATATATTTTTAATAAAATTTCTTCGTTTAAAGATTTAATTTACATCGTGATAGTACCGTTGCGTGATTTTCGAACATTCACACATTTCGTATTATTAATAAATTCGAAAACCAGTACTGTTTAACTTGCTTGCATTACTAAATATAAGGAAAAATAGGTTTTACAAATACTGTATTGTATATTATCTCACATTCTTAAACTAAGAACATATTTATTGTTTTATTTACAGTAAGAAACAAATACAATCTGGATCAAACCAAGATTACCTACCTAAGCGCAAAAAAGATTCAAGAGACATATGATGTCTCGGTTGAAACCTTGCGATAATGGGCTACTTCCAGAAAGGTTACTATCGTTAAAATGCCCAGAGGAAAATGACTCTACTCAAATACAGATGTACACAGAGCCATTGAAAATGATCAGCAACCCATGCAAAGGCCAAAAGTTTGCTATGTCAAAGTCAGTTTGAAACATCAACGAGATGATCTTGAATGACAGATCACAGATTTCTGACAATATTATCCAGGACATGTGAAATTAGTTCAGAGCTCAACTGGATTTGTTTCTCTTTTGAAATGAGTATATTCTAATCGAATTGAAGAGATGATAATTATCTAAAAAGACCGCTTTTGTTGCTTTGAATCTGAACTCATGAAATTGATTCTTGAAAAAAGCTGAATATGGCTTGTGATTCTTGATTCAGATATTTATACTAATAATGACAAAACTGGAGAACTTGCAAAAGACTTACTCATAATTATTATAGTATTTGTGACATGACATAATGAATTATATTCTACTGCAAATCGCAGAAAAGAAAAGATATCATTTAAGAAGAAAGAAATAAGAAAACTTCCAGCAGGCAATGTATAATATATTTATCTTTTTTCACTTAGAAGAAGTAAATGAAACTCAGATAATAAATAGAAATAACATGATAAACATATAATTAATATTTTATTATGATTAAAAAAGAAAATATCAATAAAAAAAAGAATTTAATATCTTAATATCATCATATTAAACTTAAATAGATTCTTGAGATTTTTTATAATATATAAGATGAAGTTATGAATAACTTAATTAAAAAATATTCTTCTAACTTTATTATAAATCATAAAAAATTCAAAATGAAGTTTTATTTTAAAAAGAATTCTTAATAGTTAATTATAATACTTTTCAAATACTAAAACAGTCTTTAGTGAATATATATTTCTTTATAAAATCAAGTTAATAAGTTTTTTTCAAGTTAACTTGAATATAATAATTATCTTATTATAAATTATCTTAATAAATTTTATCTTTATATATCTAAATTAGTAGTTAATAGTTTTCAGAAAACTATTAACTACTTAGATTATACTATAATATACTCAGGTGTGTATCATGATTCAATTTTTAGGCCACGCTCAAAGATATCATATTTTGCTTTTTACACCACATACCTGAGATATTTATAGTTAATTCATTAGATATCATATAGATTGCCATTTGAGAACTATTAAGATATGCACTAGTGTGACATGTGTTTTGTATTTTAGATCACACTCAAGTGATATATATTTTGCTTTTTATAACATACACCAAGATGGCATATTTCATACATTTGACCACATGGAAGGATCTGATGTGAGGGTCCGATGTGAGAGTCCAATATGAGAGTTATGCCTGAATCTGGCATGTAGTACTATAATTAACATAACTAATTTCATAATACTGATCACACATGAGCTGGATGACAAAAAAAATATATCTGATGATATATTCAGCTATGTGTCATTATTTGCAGACCCAATGTGAGGGCTATACCTGAATCTGATATGTAATATCTTAGCTTTCTGACCAATTCCTCTATGTAAACCAGATTTGAGACACCTAGTGCTGAAATAGTATTCATAATCTTTATATAATTTATCTGAATATTACCCAAGAATAAGGTACGTAGTGCCAAATATTATCTGTCATATTACACTCGAGTATTAATCAAGATTGAGGCACGTAGTACCAAATTATTAGCAGTTATTTGGTAGATATCCAAAGCATAATTTTTATAATATATATCTTTCTGTAATAATTTTACTTTGGGCATCTATCATCAGTATACTATGTTTTGTGATCCTGAAAATCTTTCTTGTATAGTTAATACTTTCGAATACTATCACTTCATGTTAAAAATACCTTGATATGCTATCAAATATCAGCTATGTTTCACAATTTTTGAATTATTTCTTGTGTAGTTAATATCTTTATACTAGTAGATATTCAAAGTATAATTTTATTTTATATATATCTGATAGACATCCAAAGTTATTTTTTTCTTGGCAAAAGTAATCTGCAAGACAAATCTGTCCCACATTAGTAGACATCCAAAGTATAATTTTATTTTATATATATCTGATAGATATCCAAAGCATAATTTTAGTAAACGTCCAAAGTATAATTTTATTTTATATATATCCAATAGATGTCTAAAGCATAATTTTATCTTGATCAAAAATGCATAACACAAAAATAGTTATCAATTAATTTATCTTATCCCCTATATTGAAAGTACTTACCCAGAACTTTATTTCAATCAAAATTCCACGGTACAAAAATCTGAATCTTCTTTATATATTTATCCAACAGCCTGCCATCTTAAATTGGATGACACAAAAATCTAGGTATTTAAAGTTAATCAAATTAATATTAGCTTATTATGAAAGAAATTTCTCAAGAAATATATATACCCATACATGATTCTCCAGAAATAAAATAAGTTAATGTTAAAAAAGGAGATATTAGTAAAATACTACAAAGTGATTATAATGATCACATAATAATTTTTGGACTAAAAGGTTTTCATTTGATTTTATTTTATGATAATGACAGTCAAAATAAAAAATTATCTGTAAATCTATTAGCAACTCATTTAATAAATCAACAAACAGGACAAGATAATATTCTCATCCCAGGATCTGCTTTATTATTAGATGATTATAAAAAATTAACTCTTGATGATTTGTGCTTTTTGTTGAAAGAACCATTTGATATAGAGAAGGAAAAAATAGCTGTAAAAAAGATGAATGATGTGCTTAAAGATCTAAAATCACGTGATGTAAAACACTCTATAATATTTATCTAAGTTTTATTTCTACATAAAAATATGATGAGATACTTCCTTATAACTGCAACAAATATTAAACATAGTTAAAAAGATATTATATTCTTCTGTTATAAATAACTTTAAAGTTTAAATAGCCAGTTCCTAATATCCAACCCATACATCTCGTAACTGATCACTTTTTTTACTGACTCTTCATTCACGTCTCAATATAATAAATCATATAACTGCAATAATTAATAAGATAAGAAAGATATATGCAGATAGAGATGATATCAAAGTGCTTGCCATAATAGGAATTACTTCTATTTCTCCCATCAAAATCTGAGGATATGATTTAATTAGAGAGAGGGTATAATTTTCCTATTATGCAAGGTATGAGGTCATATTCTCAGATATATCTGGTTTTATTAATGTATCTAACATAATATCTTTACTAGTTTTACTAATATTAGTTTCATCACTTACCTTGGGAATATTCTCAATATTGACTTTTGGTAGTTCGATAATCTTATCATCAGTATGATCCAGTATAATAGTATCAATTTTTTTGGCATCTTCCATATTTTTTCTACGTACTAGATACTGACTAAGATTTTTGCTAGGTTCACTAACTGTAGAAATATTATTAGAACTTAATATATTTTTTTCATCGATTCTTCCAATCACAGATTGAGATATATCTTTCAATTTCAGATACTCAAGCTTATTGACTTTCAAGACTAGTTCATTTTTTATTTGTTCTATTTCAGCCATTTTAGATTTAAGAGATAATATCTCAGATTCTTTTTTTAGTGAGTTATTCTGAATTGAAAATACATCTTTCTTAGCTGAAGTTAACTTATCTTCTAATATCTTGATCATAGACTTAAACAATCTAATTTTCCTTGATTTTGTAGTAATCACAGCCTTGGATTCAGCAATAGAAATATCTTTCCAAGCATTCTGAGAGATAAGATTAGTATTTTCACTTTGTAATTGCTTACCCTCATTAATAACTTGCAAAGCATAATTACGTAACTTTTCAATTTCAGCACTATTTCATGATAAATTCTGATCCCACCTCTTTCTTTCTCAATCAAAATCCTTTACCCGCTTTGAGTATTTAGATTGTAATTCTTCATTACAGTTATTTAACTTAGATATAGACTTTAAACTACGGTATAAAGATTCTTTAAGTTTCTGCTCTTGTATGCTATCCAGCCTATACCCTTTATTAATATCTTGTAGTATACGCATATTGGCCATATTAAATAATAGGAAATATTATGAAATATAACAAAATATGGACTCATACATAATAAATATTATAGTAATATTAATAATTTCTATGATTATAGAATGATATCTAATATTAGATATTGTTAACTATTGAAAAATAATGTTAGATATCGCTGACTATTGAAAATATATAACATTTAACTATCAAAAGTGCTTATAAAATGACTATTTTTAATATCTCTCATTCATCTATAACAATAAATATTATTTTAACACCTTGTACTAGCTTCACTAATATTCTTCATTAATATATAATAATAAATATCATTTTTTATTATTCTAAAATATTAATGGAAAATCAAACTATGAATACCCCATATCTAAAAACTTATTATTATCGAGGTTCTATATTTCTAACTTCTGAACAAATAGAAATAATTAGAACACTCAAAGACAAGATACCTAAATATAAAATAATAGGAGATTTTAATATTAATAAGCATAGGGTTGATGATATATGAGAAAATCATGAATATAAATAACAAATGATATACTCTCGATTAACTCAAGCATAAAGTATCATTTCTTCTGATATATTACCTAAAAATCCCAACCAAATTGGCACTACCATGTCAGCTTATGCCAAAAGAGAGATTTTACATCTGGAATCTACTACTTCCTCTGATAAAGAAATAAAAAAGAGAAGTTTCAAATCTTGGTCTAAATCTGCTCGCATATCTGATCTAATACCTAGCAGTAGCTTAATATTAGTTAATAATGAAAATCCAACTGAAAAAATAAGTGGGGGCTCTAGGAATAATGATGTTCTTATTGATATAATTGATCAGATTGAACGAGAAAATAAAAGAAAAGATAAAAACTTAGCTAATAGTGCTCACATAAAATCTACTATCTAATTTATATTTTCTTTATCTATAACAAACTCAATAATATTTCCATATTTTATTTGTAAAATCATATTACAATCATTAAGTTCAGTAATAGATTTGAATGTATTGTATAGACTTTTCTCATACCTCTCACAATTTACGCATTTTTTTTTAAAGTTGGATTGACAGAATCTAAGAACAGAGTCCCATTACTTTGCAATAAGCTGAAATTCGCAGGAGCACACCACTCATCAAATGGTATATCATCATTCTTATTACTATCTATTTCCTGAGAAATTTGATTGGATACCAGAAGCTTATTATCCTGAGATGCGGTTGCACAGTTCACTTCAAGCTTGTTTTTGACTTTATGCATATTAACTGGAATGAAAAACTCCTTACCATTACATACAAGTTTCAATTCTTGCCTGGATGCAAGTAAATCATAATCATATTTATCAAGCAGTGTATTGGGTAAAATTAATATTGGTTTATGATACTTAATTACTGCAAAATCAGAATATATAGTGCAATTAGAAGCAAAGATCATAGGTATATTACAAACAATACCAATAAATTCAATAGGAATAGTAGCAATCCCGCTAAGATCATGTTTTTCCCTTGTATCAATTTTTAACTTTGCATGCTTAGCAATATCTTCAGATATAACTGGAAAATTTGCACAAGAATCGAGACTAGCGCCCGGAATAATCAGATGTTTTATTTTGCATCTTGTGGTAGTAACATCTGTAGCTGGTTCCTTTTGGTGAACAAAATCAATTTCCATAAGATCATCTATAATATCATCTTTTCCATCCGAATTGGGAATTTCTGGGGCTGGCTCTCTATACTTCTTGAAGTCTGATACCTGGGTTGGTAATACTGAAGTCGAAGGATTTTCTATTTCCAATTTGAGCTTCTCTAACCAATACGCGGGTAAAGCTTTTTCAAGCATATCTAACATAATCTTTTGGAGAGACTGTTCACGAGTTAATTTATTTCGGGACTTACCAGAACTGGAAGCATCTTTCTGTTTTGTCTTGTGAGGTTTGGATTCCTTCTTGATCTTGGGTTCCTTGGGCTTTACTTTTTTTTTGCTTTGACAGCATTGACAGCATTCGTGAGTTTGAGCTCACAGACGCAGTAAGTGGCGCAGTAGAACCACCTAAGTACCTTTTTTCAAATTTAATAAATGC